ATATATATATATATATATATATATATATATATATATATATATATATATATGTATATATAAATCTTTGATCTTTCATGATATTATGTGAAGATCGTATACAGTTACCTTTTGTAATTTAACAACGCAAACTCGTAATTTTCTACGATAAACACGATGATAATTCACTACGTCAATTAAAAAACAGCAAAAGAAATCATAAACTGCAATTGGATTTCAACGGAATATTTAGCATCGGACAGAATACAATTTAGCGTATTCTCGCGACCACTACACACACATTTAGTACCGGATATTACTCAGGTAAACAACAATTAAAAGCGATTATTAGCTAGAAGCTAGAAGTGGAAAAAATCATAAATTGCAATTACTCGGACAAACGACAATTGAAGACTATTGCTTTAATTAGGAAATAAAAGTAAAAATAATTATAAATTGCTGTTAAATCTCAAATTCAGATTTGTCGTGTGATCATTGCACAGTTTGTATATAACGCGATCAAGTATCACTTAGGTAAACAACAATTAAAAACGATTATCATCTAGGAAACAGAAGTGGAGAAAGTCATCAATCGCAATGTGATGTTCAGTTCGTCGGTTGGAACTCAATTTAGTATTTCTTCGCGATTGTTACGATTTGCATCTAACGCCCGGGTGTGTTGCTCGGCTTTGAGCAACAATAAAAAACGACTGCCCACCGTTAAATATTATTCTCTCTGCATTATCATAATGATACATCAAACATGCATCTTATTTTTGACGATACAGATGTTTGTTTGCGCACGTCGTTACCCGCCATGCGTTGCATTTCGTACGACCGCAAGTCACCAGAATCGCCAACGCGCTTTTCCACGTGTGCTTCGTCCAGATTTTATCGCGCGAGCTTCCACCGCGAATACGTGCACTCGAGTACTCGCGCGACTCGAGTATTCGAATATTGTGTAGCAAAACTTTTATCAATAAAACCGACGAAAAACATCGTTCTTCAGTTCCTGAGGAACAGCCCGACTGCAGATTTACTGCTCTTGATCAGTACTTGATACTCTGCTCTTGATCATGTTGGTTCCAACCAGTTATCTGGTTTGTACAAGGTGTTATCAGTCCTGATAAGTCGTGACGCGGCGCAACAATCAGGACTTTGTTAATAATAAAGATCACTTAATAATTAGAATTTTGTCAATAATCAGGACCCAACGATATCACCTCAGACAGATCAGATAACTGATTGGGATCAATCTGACCAGCAACATGGAGTAAATTTCTAGTCGGTAGTTGATCGCGCGAGGGACCAAGACGGCGCGGCCGATCCACACCCGGGCGTCGCTCACAACTCTAAGAGAAACGTGTACAGAATTAAGAGGAACGTACACTGACCTGACGACGACGACCGAACATGTACTCGGTGAGCAGGTCGGCCTGGGGCCCGAGAGGCGACAAGTACGGGCCCGCCATGGGGAGAGAGCGGCCGCGGCGGTCGGTCCCCGCGGCGCTACCTTCACCGGTCTCGTGCGCGGGGTTGCGCGTAGAGGACGAAGAGGACGACACGCGACTCTCCTCGGCGACTCCACTGGCGACTCCAGCGGAGATCCTCACTGTCGCAGGACGGGATGCTCGTTCAGCGCGAACATGGCGAGAGCACTGCCGCAAGTTGTCGTTCCGTTTCGGCGAAGGGTGAGAGCACAGCGAAGAGTAAACGGCGAGGAAGAGAGAGAGAGAGAGAGAGAGAGAGGGGAGGGGGAGAAAAAGAGAGAAGAGACGAGCAACCCCCTCGTTCGAGAGTCTCGAGCTCGCGCATCAGGGGTGGCTGGTTTACGCGGCGCCATTGGCCGCGTCGCCACCGGGGGCGGTTCCGCTGCGTTAAGAATCGCGCACACCCCTCCTCGACGGTGCAGCTATGTTGAAAATCCGCTAAATCGCGGTCTGCAACCCTCTCCTCTTCTCCCTTTGCTCGCTCTCCTCTGTCCTCTTCAGCGTCCCCCGCCACCTCGTCGCGACGTCCCCGGCCACCCTCCTTCCTCTTGCCGCCCTCGCTTTTGCTCTTTCTTCGTCATTCTTCGCCCGCGTTCCGTTCGCGCTTTATCCGTTTTCTCTCCCCGTCGGTCCTCTTCCTCCTCTCCATGTGTGTGTGTGTTTTTTTAACTTTCTTCTTCTTTTTCCATGCCTTTTTCTTTTCTCCTTATTCTTCTTCTTCTTCTTCGTCGCTCTTCTCCGCTCTTCGTCTTTCTGACGCGGAAATAAGCTCGATCACTTGGTGAAGGTAGTTTTCTTCGACTTCCGGGGCGAAACCTCGAAAACGGTATCGGGGACGCTATCGGGACGCAGGTGGTGGCATCGATCATCGATAGGCTTTAAACATGACGTAAGTGCATATACATGTACACCGGGTGTAGCAAAAGTCGCGCGCTTTCTCCCGAATACATGCTTCGTCATCGATTTCGGGACGGTTTTAATTCTTTGAGGCGGGTGGTTTGACGTTGATTAAAATTTACATATTGTAGTCTTCCAGAACTGTCCGCGCCGCAATATTACAAATTTGTATGAGATTCATCGGGGGAGAAATTTTCGTTATTTACCCGCGCGTTTCAAAGAACTTCAATTTTAATCCGCTTGGACAACCAAATTTTCACACAGAAATGCACATACACAGTCGCTTGTTAATTAAAACAGAAATAATAATTTGGAATGGAAATTATTGACATCTCTTTTTTACTTCAGTTAACAACACTTGTGGTACCAAAGACGCGCGACTTTTTGGCTTACCGTGTATACACACGTACGCAAGTAGTCGCGCACATTCGCGTCAGAATTCGCGCAAACGAGCTCTGTGTTTACACCGCTCGATTCTCCTGAGAAAATTTCGTCGGAAAATGTCTTCAAAACCCAAAACGTTAACTTTACAAATCGTTGTAATTTATCTTGCCTGCTTGCACTGTTACTTCTTACTGGTTAACTGCTACTATATATTTCTTATTGCTCTCTTATTTAAAAAAAAATAAAAAGGCAGCGCGTTATCTCGCAAAGAGAGAAAGACAATTGCGCAATAAAGAGTTAAAATAAATTTGCATATTCCTCCTGCATTCCGAGAGAGAGAGACATGACGATGGTAATTATATAGATGGTAATCGTACGAGTTTTGTGTGTGAAAAGAATTATAATGTATATTAAGAATTATAATGTATATAATTTAATAAATTATTGTGTGCAATTATTGCAACTAAAGGCTCAGTTGTAAAAACTAGAGTTTATTAAACTATATACATTATAATTCTACACACAAAACTCGTACAGTTGTCACCTATATAGTCGACATTACCATGTTTTCCACTGGGTGTGCTTTTGTCGTGTCGTATGCGCATAAAATAATCGACGACGCAATCGACAGTGAAGGAGTATCCGAAGGAGTTGCCGCGGTCGTGCCAGAACGACGGATAAATATGCAATCATTTGATTGATGCAAGCTCGTACATATTTAATACATTGTGATACGCGTCTCCGGGGGACGCGCTATTTACATTTCCCTCCGGCTCACGTTCCTTTGATATTTAACGCATTGACTGCAAACACGGAGACACTGCAGACTCTTGCTTTTGCTTTCGTTCTTTTTTTTTCTTTCAACAAGCAGATGATGCAATCGGAATATCTGTCCTAATTATCGGATCGATATATTTCCAATATGTTATTGTGTAAGGCAGAGCACCTTTGTCGAGCGTTTGGTTCAGAACTTAAAAATGTTCACTTCAAACTTGATCCCGTTAAAAATATTACGAGACTTCAAACTCGACCCCGTCAAAAGTGTAATGCGCGATTTCGACTTCGAAATAAAGACGATTACAAGATTACATCTCGTCAAGAGTTTGCTCGACAGTACTTAAGTGAAGGATAGAAACCGATTGTTATTATTTAAGAGAAATTTCGCGGCACCACGATCGAAACAAAAGCATTCGCGCTGGTAAAATAGCATTTGACCTCTCACGACAGTTCATCGTGATCTTCGAACTTACGTTTACTCGTTCGTGATTGATCCGTTCGTGGTTGATCTCTCGCGAACTCATGAGCGAAGAGAGAACAGCTCGCATTGGGCTTCGCATGATTGGATCCGCAGAAATTCATCGCAATTTTCGATTCGATCGCTCTCGCGCGAGAGTTGATTAAAACATTTTAATACGTCTGTCGGTTTCTATAGACGGCGCGTATTAATACGGTTATTGAATTCCGCCTCTCTGTCTCGCGTGTACTGTCTCTGTTCAGGAAGAGCAAAAGTGAGATAGACAGACAGACAGAGAGATAGAGAAAGAGCGAGGG